CCTCAACCCCTAGGCCTCAACAGCCCGCCGCCGCAGCCGCCACCGGCCCCCGTGCCGCAGCCGCCGCCAACCAGCCCCAACGCGTCCGACGCCATGACCCCCGCCACCCCCTCCCACGCGACCGCCCCTCGCCCCGACAAGCACTCCGCGCCGCGGCGCGCGGCGGGGCGGCTGCTGTCTGCGGCAGTGAAACCTGACTGGGTGGTGCCGCTGGCCGCCCAGATCGGGACGAGCAGCTTCTTCGTGCCGCTGGGCGTTGTGGGGCAGACGCTGGTCCCGTCGTTCGTGAGAGACCTTGACGGTGAGTCATCACCCTTGGGTGTAGTGGAACTCGCCGGCGAGTTTGGCCGGTCTTGGCACCATCTGAGTATTTGCTGCCTCGTGGGCGGCGAGGCGGGCGGCAGGGCGACGGCCAGGCGGGCGGCGGGGCATGCTGCTGGGTGCAAGGGCTGCAGCTGCAGGGCCTTGGGAAGATTGCCTGCGCACTTGCAGTACCACCACAGCGGCACCTGTGTGCTCAGTCCACTCCGCAACAACATCGGCAGCTCCATTGCCTCGATTTCCCAGCCGCATCCGTCCCTTGTGCCGAACCACTCGCACCTACGCAAACCGCCGCACCCCTCGCGCTCCTGGTTTCCATGATCACCACCGGCTGCCTCCTCCCTCCCTCCGCAGCCACGCTTCCGATGGCCCTGTGGAACCTGCAGGACTTCCGGGGAGGGACGTACTCAGTGGTGGACGGCGGGGGCGCGGGTGAGGGAGGGCCCCCTGAACCGGTCCAGGGTCCAGGGTTCAGGGGTTATGGTTTAGGGTTTACTATCAATTGTCCTCTCTGAGGCACCCCCATACGCACGCAAGGGCCAGTGTCCGTTACTGCACACGCTTTGGGGCTGGATGACCTTTGTTGCGCAATCTCGGCCCCAGGCGCTGCACAACCCCCTCCTCAAGCCATCGCCAGGCCTGCCACAGCGTGTCACGGCCGGCTTGCAGTTGCGCAAAGTGTTGCCTTGCAAACTGTGTTTTCTCCCGCACGCGTGTTCTCCCCCTTCGCCCCGCGCCCAGACACCAACGGCATCACGCCGCTGCTGCGGCGGCGCACGCGTGCCATCATTGCCTGCGTCGCCAACGCCCACCCGATCGGGCCCGGCTCGGACGCCCAAACCTTTGCCGCCCGCCAATACGATGTGAGATGTTGCACACGCACTCATGCAAGCTGAAGTATGCCAATGCGTGGCCTGGTCTGGTCTGGTGTGTGCGTGCATGCGTGCACGCTGTGGGTGTGGGGGGGAGGGGCGCACGTGTGTATGTTGCGACCCCCTGCCATCCTGCCAGCCTGTCGGCCTCCGTGCCGCACGACATGATTCATACAATTCGCATCTGCCAACGCCGACACGCCCCGCCCCCTCCCCACCTCCCTTGCCCTCCCTGGACCACCTCCCCTGACCTGCCCGGCGCCACGCTTCGCCTTGCCATGCTGCGTCGTGGCCTAGACTTTGGGCCTGTTCGGTGCAGTGCCTAATGGCCACCCCGCCGTCAAGGACGGCCAAGTCAAAGGCTTGCCAGTCCCGCAGTTCAACCAACTCATGCAGGCGAGCGCGTTCGCCGCCCGTAGGGGCAGCGCCGCAGCCAGGGTTTTTCCGGAGCCTGTTCGTCTCGTGCGCACGGTACACCGCGGAACCTAGGCCGGACGCGCAGCCGCAAAGTCTGGACACCTAGGCAGCACCCCCACTCTGGGGCGCAAAGGCGACTGAGAGATCAGGACTCCTCAATCATGAAATCCGGCGCCGTGCACGGTGCACGCATGCTCAACACCACCTCGACGGCACGCCCGCGCCCCGCCCGCGCGCGCCTCCATCTGGCACGCATCGACCACGCCTCTGCCACGCCTCCGCCACGCCTCGGCCGCGGGGGCGCCCCCGCCAGGTGTTCCCTGTAGGCGGCTACCCGCGGCTGTACGCCGCGGCCGCCGCCGCCGCCGCGTCGGGCGGCCCCGCGCTGCACCTGGACTGGTACACAACGCTGCCCAACGCATACCACGCCGTCGCCGGCGGATGGAACGTGGGTCGGTGGCTTCGCGAGCGCTTTTTCCGACGGCTGCGGGGCCGAGCTTGGGCAATCCGTCTGCGGAGAGCCGCTGACGCGCTCCACGCTCGAGGCCCGCCTCTTGTTTTGCTTGAATGGCTGCTGAAGCTTGTTGGCTACCGATTGTCGCATTGCGGTGTGCCCCTCCCGCACGGCCGCGGCTGCCGCTGAAAAAGGGCGCCCCCTCTTTGCCTCCCCTCGTTTTGGGGGTCATGCGTGCACAGGTCACTGTCCTGTGGATCTTCAACTCGCGCGCCGCGCAGTGGGAGGCGGCCCTGCCGCCCGGCGTCGCCGCCAGGCTGGCGCAGGTGTCCGCTGGCAACGGGTGCGCTGGCGGGCCGCCAACTGCGCCTTGCGGGGGCGCATCCCCATGCTCACACCGCACGCATCCGAGATGTCGAGATGTCTCTGCTGTGCATGAGACCTGATCAGGTCTACTCTACACCAGCAGGCCAAGGAGCCCATCTAGGAGGGCGCCCTTCAGGTTACTAATCTGGAGGCTGCAGTAAAGGCCGCCCTAGCTGCGGCGGGGCCGCGGACCCTTTGACGTGCGCAGGTGTTTGCATTCATTGGCTGACCTCCCGCACCACAGGACCTCCCGTTGACCGGCACTCGTTCTGCATTCAAAGTACGCCCCACCGACTTGGCAAAGCAGTCCTGCACCCCGCCTGTCAGCACGTCCCCTCAAACACGCATGCTCGCACGACTGCAGGACCTCCCCCCAACAGAACGCTTCGACCGGCAGCGACGAAAACACCGACAATGGTGGCGGCGGCAGCGGCGGCTTTTTCAAACAGGCTGCGAGCAAGCTGGGCGGCGCCGCCGGGAGGGTCGCGGGCGCTGCATCCCAGGCGGCCGGCAGGCTCGGCGGCGGCGATGGCGGGGACGCGGGCGCTGGGGGTGGGGGCGATGGCGGGGACG